GATGGTCAGATTTTGACCAATACAGTTAGTCTCTCCGTCTGTCGGGGTCGTCCTATGTCGGGCTCGGTAGACGGGTCATGATTATTACGAATTCGAGAGAAATCTGACTTACGACTCTCCGTTCCTTAGTCACATTTTGTGGGTTTTTAGCGGAGTGGCGGCATTTTGTCGATTCTCATGGATCGTTGTTGCAGTTTCGGAACTGAAACGCCATTTGGTATCGAAGCGTTGTTTTGTGGTTATTGCCATTATGACACACGTTCCTGGGGAACTGAAACGTTTCGTGCCCTATCAGATTCGATTGGCGACTCTTGGATTTCATGCTCGGAGGATTTATGTATCTTATAAATAGAGGAAGCTTGTCATTCGATTGACACACTTTTTTATCTTTCACTTGGGAGAATCCTGCTGATATACTTTCTTTCTGATACCTCGGATTTCTGCGTGCCCCCTTGTTCACTGAAAACTTTCATCTCTTCTTTCTGTTATTTCTTTGGCGCATTTTCTGATAAGAATGACTAGTGATTCTTCTCGAGACAATATCCCTGCTGCTAATCCGGTACCGGAAAGTGCTGCTCAGGCCATCGGATGGGCCGATGCGGTAGAGGATAAGGAGGTCCTATCAGTGATTGAGATCTTGCCCTGCCCTGGAAGAGAGCCGACTAACTTCAATACTCCCGTCGGGTCGAACCGGAGTATGTTCACTCTATTATGAGGGAGAGGGATATTGCAGAGTTGAAAGAAAGGTGGGGTATCCCCGGTTACGTTGATATGCGGCCGACAATGGGAAAGGACATAGTTCATTTCGACCGCCCCGGGTACTGTGTGTTCTATGCCTACCCCTTCATTGTAGGGTACACGCTTCCTCTTCCTCTGTTGGTGGTGGATTTTTGCCATTTTTACGAAGTGTGCCCTGCCCAACTTTCGCCGTGTTTGTATAAGTTATTCCTTATGCTGCTCAAGTACGCGGAACTCGCCGGTCGCGAGGTCACTTTGGACCATATGCTCAGCATCTTTGCTCCCCAACTTATTCGTGGTGCGATGATTCACATGCGTCCTCGGGGGTCGAGGAGTCTGGTGGTGAAGATGGACGACAGGACCAACCATCGTTTCTACGAGAATTACTTTTATGTCCGGACTGAGCACATTGTGCAGGATTCCCTGAGAAGTGGAACATTGCGCATAAGTTTGCATTTTTAGTCGGTGAAATGCTCGATCATTTTCTGTGGGTACTAAACTTTATCATGTCTTTGAAGCTGAGAGATTGCCTTTGTCCCTCCTTTCTTCCAAACTATTTCTTTAAGCTTCTAATATTACTAATAATTTAAGAATAATTATTTTACAATTGCTATCCCAAGATAGACCTAATTATTATTATTATTATTATTATTATTATTATTATTATTATTATTATTATTATTATTATTTATTGTTACTCTTAAATATTTATATTATTCTAATACCCTATCAAGAAAGCTCTTTTAATTCAATCAACAATACTTTCATCACAAATGCTTCTTTTTTATATTGTATGTAATTCTACCCGTATTTGTAAAATACTTAATCGAATGATTTGCACATTAGTAGCATGCTTCTTTCTTTTTGGTCGTGATTATCATCTAATAAAACAAATTCTATATGATTAATTCATAATTAGTCTATTTTAGAAAATTATTAATAAGTGGGTATGTCAAATGATTTATTTACCTACATAGTATTATTATCTAATATGGCTATTAGAATATTTTATTCAGCCCAATATTTCATTCCCTAATTCCTAACCCTAGTCAAAAGACATCATCGCCTCTGTCCCCTTCCTTGTCCCCTTCTCCATTTTTAGAAAACCTTCAAGTTTTTGCACCTTCCAGTAAAAAGATGCCGCACTATTTTTGTGCAAGTGTTGTCTCTTTCTTCCCTCTTCCATATTTGTGCTTGATGACCCGTGTTAAAATGGGGTATAACAGCATGACGACTTTGTTTGGGATTCTAGGCTCTAAACCACAACAAACTTAAGTTAATAATAAAAATTAATTTGTGTGTTTTTTATTGTTATGATGCTTATTTGAATTACGAATTCTTCATCTATTCTTATTGCTTTATATAAATTGTCATTCTCATTTTACTTCCTCCACTTCTGGAAAATTCACACAAAGCACACACCTAGTGGTTACGCGGTTTGCGGCCGTGCACTACTCAAAACACCTTTTAGGGGAAAGTTCGTGGGTAAGTCGATCAGCGGTGCAGTCGACCGTCATGGGCTTTCCACTCTCAAGCTGTCCACTTGGGAGCAAACCAATCTAGAAAATTCACTCTTAGTCAACCTAAGATAGAGCTAAACCAAAACCCATTTAAGAGTATGCATCATTTTAACCTTAGGTGATTTAATACCCGAGGTGTATTAAATTCATTAGTTAACCTTAGCTAAATGGCCAAATGAGTTTTCAATCCCAAGTGACACCTTATTACGTATATGCGCATTATTTAAAGGGTGAACATGCCAATTATATGGACCATTTGCTCTAAATTAATTAAATCTTAGTTAAAGGAGCATGACTAACTTTTTTACAATATGTTTTTTAAATGACATAATTTTGCTGGACAACGAGAAGCTTAGACATGACGAAAATATCTTTTATACTTTCTTTTGATCTTTTAATTAAAAAAAATGGTTTAAGCGATTCATGTACCATATTTTCTTTTGAAAACGAAATATAGAATTATTTAATTAATTTATAGCAATGGAATGACATAATGGCATATTTCTCTTTCAAATACACGTTAGGCCCACCTCTGGCACAAAGAGGCCCCCTGCATATTAGGACGTGCAATTATTTGTTATGCCTTGGAATGTGTCACATGCTTTGCTTGCTTACTTGCTGCTTGCTATGTTGCTTATGATTGTACTAACATTATTTGTTATTTTTCAGAAGGAAAAAGTATTGAATATCCACCTTGTCTACATTTTTATTTAAATATATATTTTTTTTGTTCATATATTTTTTCTTCTGCTTATTTTTATAACATCTTCCTGAAATCGTTTCGCGCTTAGCTTTTTAACAACTCTAGAGCACCATTTAGGTATTAAATACTTAAGCTCGAATTTCTCTTAGGTCTACTCCAATTCTTAGTGTCTAATTAAGATATTTTTTAGTCTCCGGGCATGATCTTTTATTTTTCAAGGTAGAATATTTGCCCGCAAACTCTTCAACAAGCTCAGTTTGTCATGAAAATTCCTCGATATTCGTACCTTAAACTAGCATTACGATTTTTCTTTAGACAACAATGAGCATCTCACTCCCCATAGCAAGATATCATTCCTACTTCTTTTAAAAAAAAATTGTCGTAATATTTCATAATTAAAAATTATTTTTCCCATCTAATCCGTGAGTTAATTTTATTCGCATTCTTTTCTTAAAATATAGTTACATATTTTTCAAATATTGTCACTCATGCCTCACAGAATATTCATACCTTCGATTCTTCTCGTAGCTCTATGTTTCATAAAATCTACTTACTATTCTACCTATTTCAACCTTCGTGCCAATTCTCATTTACAAATTGGTAGATGTCCAAACTTGTGCAATCTACCGAGCAATAAAAGGCCATTATTTGGTCAGTTTGCATCACTAAATTATTCTATAATTTTCACCTATTCGATTCAAGTGTCTGTATCGTCTTATTTCGGGTCGCCAAGATTAATCTTCATGCACCCGTTAATTCTAAGTTTTGGCACATAAGTCGAGGTAATATCCCATAAGTCTCAAAATGGTTGACACCATATTCCTTGGCCCCGACAATTTTATGATTTGCCGATGCTGAAAAAATAGATTTTAGATTCTTTTCATGTCAATTCACTATCATATCCTTATTAATTATTTTGATCCCGAGCTTGTCTATATCCAAATACCAACAAATTATTTTCTAATATCAAAGTCACCCATCTTTGGTCTCTCTTAAACATTGCAATATTATAAGGGCCGATCTCGTCGGTTTCTTAGGCACGCATTCCCAAATATCTATCCTTAGCCTTCAATATTTATCTACTCTATAGCGACTAGATATATCATTTTCCCAAAAGGTTGACTTAAATTGAACATCAAAGCAGCACAAGTTCAAGGACGATACGGTCGACCAAATCGTAGTGATTGACTTAGTTGAAGACGAAGCTGCTGGCGAGAAAATAGAATCATACCAAGATAAGATTGTCAAGCTTGAAGCAAAAGTGGCAAATGGAGCAAGAAATTGATGGCGTCAAGGAAGTGATAGCCGATCTTAAGAACTCGTCCAACGAAAAAGGCTACTCTCTATTTCGCACAGCTGCTTATGAGTGTGATGCCCAGTTTTTTCAAATCTGCACTCTTTCTTGCTAGAAAGGGCATTCTAAGTTGCCAACAATGTGAATAAAGAAGAAGCATGATTAACAAGGACTTTGTCTCACAATTTTCAAGATTATCATTCCCCATCCATCTTTCCTTATTTAGGATACGCATGCAACCTACATAAGGCTTAGTCTCATTATAACAAAAAAAATAAAAAATTGGGGCACATTTTTAGCACGCAGGATGAGTATGCTCGAAAGGGACATCATGCCAATCATTAGAAATTTCCTGAGGATTGGGGCAATTTTTGAAAAATGCCAGAGTCATGCAAAGAAAAGGACGTGTGATAAAGCTAAAGCTTTGATGTTCGATATGAGTCAACCTTTCAAAAAAATTTAAATCAATTCGCTTCCATGTCACCAAGTCTTGTGCGTTAGAGCCCTCTAGATAACAAGTTATTCTCGTCCATCCATTTTGCAAATGTTTCTAGTTTAGGGCTCCTTCTTAACCATATCATGGATTAATCTATCTAATCATATATTTTATTATTTTAGTGCATCTATTTGTTATGACGAATGTGCTAACACTTTATTTTGTTTGTAAAAGTTTTATTTTTCTTTAAAGGTTGCCTAGAATTGAACACTCTTTTGGCTACGAATCTGCATCAAGGACGCAACTATAATGGCAAACCGATTTGGAGCATTCAATACCGGTAAAGGTTTGTTGCAAGTTGAGACTGATGATGATGAGACAAATGTTGTACGGAAGAACATTTTGGTCAATCTGAGAAATACTTTCAACCTTTTTCCCAACCCAAATTCTGCTTCCATCTCAACCCGAAATATCTCTTTGACCATATCTCCTCACCCAGCAACTATTTACATAAGTCCTCCACCGATACCGCCAAAATTTACTATCAGTCCAGAGGCTTTGCCAGTCATCATGATGACCAATGCCCAATCATATGCACTTGCAACATCAGTCACAGAAAGCCAACAAAATCAACTAGCGCTATGTCCATACAAAAGACCAGGAAAGGAAATTAAGACGACTAGCTGGGATGATCCAGATAGAGAGCTCCATAACCTAAGAAAGATCGTGGAGGAAGAAATGCGTGCAAGAAATATTCAGATTTTAAGATATGAAAGTTTGTGCATGCATCCAAATGTTGAGCTTCCGCCAGGATTCAAAATTCCAAAATTCAATACTTTCAATGGGAAAGGATATCCCATTTATCATTTGAAAGACTACTGTAGCAGATTAGTGGAGATTGGACATAATGAAGCCATTCGAATGAAGTTGTTCATTCAGAGTCTAACAGGGCTAGCGCTTGATTGGTACACTCAACAAAATCTTAGCAAATGGTACATGTGGGAGGACATTACCCGCGATTTTGTAGAACAATATAAGTTTTATAATGGAGATAGTCCAACGCTTTGTGATATGCGTGAAGTAGAAAGAATGCAATACGAGTCTTTTGCAGAATATGCCATGCGATGGAGACTGGAGGCTACAAAAATACGCCCTCAATTGCCTGAGAATGAGTTGATTTCCACCTTCATCAAAATGCAAAAAGGCATATACTATGAAAAGTTGTTATGTGCTCGGCTACATGACTTCTCGAATTTGATTAGAGTTGGAAAACTGATAGAATCAAGCATTCGAGCAGGAAGAATTGTTGACAAATCAAAATTACAAGCCACTTCTCAAGGCGATGCACTCGAGAATTTACAAGGCAAAAAGAGGAAGATAGATTCTGTTTGCATTCCCGCTCATCAGCCATAATCTCAACAAATAGCCAGTTGCTACAAACTCATATAAAACTCCAACCTACTCAGCAAAGCATTCAACATCAAGCTTATCAAGCACAATCTAGCTATCGTCATTCAGAGAACCTGAAATTCTGCACTTTTATTCCTCTGAAAGAATCATTGACAAACACACTACAAGAAAAGTGCGAAGCACATGGGAATTTTCTTGGAGATTATACAGGAAAATTCGTAGGTAGTCTAATTTCCTTCGAAAAAAATTTCGTTGGAAAAACCTTCGTAACTAATTTTTACTTGCAAATTTTAAAATTCCCAAATAACTTACCTGGGGATTTGAATCGGTATGTAAATCACCTGCGAATTTTAACACAAGAAACATAGAAAATTCGCAAGAAAGTTTTGGTAAAAATTCGTGAGAAAAAGGAATTTCTTGTGAACTTTCATAGGAAATAATCCGCAAGTAAATTCGTAAGGAATTTTTGGCACATGTTTTTGAAAAAGATACATCAATTATTTTTATTGATTTAATTCTTTTGTCGACTACTACCATTAAGTGGCCGTATACACAACTAATTCTGCTATTTATTTAATTCTGCCAATTATTAGTTTTTAAATTCAGATACAAATTTTGTTATTTATTTTTTAAATTCAGTTCTGATGTATCAAGCGTATCAAGCACAATCTAGCTATCATCATTCAGAGAACCTGAAATTTCGCACTTTTATTCCTCTGAAAGAATCATTGATTTGAGAGATTGAAAGCGAAAGGACTTTTACAGCCAAGGAAAGGATGGATCCCGCAAAATCTTCCTCCAGATTTTGATTGGTCTAAAACTTGTGCGTACCATTCATATATTCAAGGCCATGACACAGGAGAGTGCCCAGCACTTAAGCATAAGATTCAAAACATGATTGAAAACAACAAGATAATTGTGCATCAAGAGCAACCATGCAACAACTATGACCCTTCAGTCACTAATACCATCGTGGTTAACGGTGATCTTTCAAAGTTGGCACCAAGACCTTTGAAGAGAAAGTGTGAATCTAAACAAGATGATTGACTAGAGCTTTTCATCACTACTATGTTGCCTGCCCTTTCATGATTGACTCTGTTTCATGTACTTTTGTTAAACTTTTGAATGAACTACGTTTTGACCTGATTCTCGTTTAAGAGGGGATACGTAGGCAACCCTATGGGTTCGGTCTCAACATAATAAATTTTTTATTTTTCCCCAAAAGCCAAAACCGGGGCAGATTTTGCAGAAAGATACTCATCATTCGACAAAGCAGAAAATGAAATTCCGGGCTACGTATTTGTTACAAGTGCAACATCAAATTTCCAGAATGTCATAGCAGCAAGTTGTAGATTCAAATCCAAAACTTTGACGTTCAATGCAAGGCAACCACTTTATTTTATACTAATGAATTTTCTTTGAGTAAAGCAGGGGTAAGATATAGCCATTCTCGATCAAGACCATCTGCGTGATAATCCAAAGCTCAGCATCAAGCCAAAATCGCAAAACTCAGAGAAGGATGAAGCCAAGTCAACATGAACCAAATTTTGTAACTCATAATTTTCTTGAGTGCAGGAATTTAATAATAGATAATTTCAGCTTGAATATCTGACAAGCGTCGGCATTTCACCATGAACATTTGCTACTGCATTGCATCAAGCTCTTTACTCCATACAATTTACTAATTCAAAGACATTGCACCGCGCTATCCGTATCACACCTTGAATACTTGAAGGTAACACACCAATTTCTTCACCTGCATCATAAATATTCATTGCTTTGGATCACGAATTACACCAAGCTTTTTTGTGTTTCACTAATTTTCTATGAATCAAGCATCACACCAAGCCCTTCGCATTGCACCAATCTTGTAATATTAAATCAAGCAACGCATTTAGGCTTGTTCGCCTTTAATAGGATACTTAGGCTAGCCCGCCTTTAATAGGACGTTTAGGCACATTTTGCCTTTAATTAAATATTTAGGCTTATCCGCCTTTAATTGGATATTTATGCACCTTTACCTTTAATTAAACATTTAGGCTTGTCCGCCTTTAATAGGACACTTAGGCTCGTCCGCCTTTAATAGGATGTTTATGCACATTTATCTTTAACTAAATATTTAGGCTCGTCCGCATTTAATAGGACAGTTATGCACATTTGTCTTTAATTGAACATTTAGGCTCATCTGTCTTAAATAAGATATTTATGCTTATTTGTATTTAATTCGATTTTTAAGCAAGTTTGCCTTTAATATGATATTTAGGCTTGTCCGCCCTTAATAGGACACTCAGGCTCGCCGCCTTTAATAAGACGTTTAGGCCTACATTTTGTCTTTAATTAAATATTTAGGCTTATCCGCCTTTAATTGAATTTTTAAGCACGTTTGCCTATTAATATTGTATTTAGGCTTGTCCGCCTTTAATAGGATATTTATGCATTAAATATTTAAGCTTATCCGCTTTTAATTGGATTTTAAGCATGTTTGCCTATTAATATTGTATTTAGGCTTGCCCGCCTTTAACAAGATATTTATGCATTAAATATTTAGGCCTATCCGCTTTTAATTGAATTTTTAAGCACATTTGCCTTTAATATGATATTTAGGCTTGTCCGCCTTTAACGGGACATTTATGCATTAAATATTTAGGCTTATCCACCTTTAATTGGATTTTAAGCGCGTTTACCTTTAATATGATATTTAGGTTTGTCTGGCTTTAACATGACATTTATGCATTAAATATTTAGACTTATCCGTCTTTCATTGGATATTTAAGCATGCTTGCCTTTATGATATTTAGGCTTGTCCGCCTTTAATAGGACATTTAGGCTCGTCCGCCTTTATTAGGACATTTAAGCACATTTGCCTTAATTAAATATTTAGGGTCTATCCGCCCTCAAATAGGATACTGAAGTTAATCCTTCCTCAAAAGGACATTTAATTTATTTTGATCCCATTAGTCCTGCTTGCATAAAGATTTCCAAAACATATCTTTCATAAATCATTGCCAAATGCATTTGTCTTTATAAACTAAATTTCCATGTGCCATTGCCGACCATGAAATATGTCACCATAAAATTATTATTATTACTATTATTATTATTATTTTATGTTTGCACAATAAATTTGCATTTCTCATGAATCGACACCTAAATATTATTTTTTTATGGCATATTGCATCTTTTTTCATAATGAATTGTCTAGCATGTTAAGCTTTGCATGAATTATAGCGCGATGTGGAATTATTTCTTAGCAGTGAACTAGGGCATTTTGTTGGAGAGGAATACCAAACTCTCCAACAAAGGTCAAGGATCTACTTCGAACTCCGCTTGGCTCGACTCTCAAAATTCATAATCAAATTCTTATTTCAATCATGGTACCTAGTGTCTCTATTATTCGACACTAGCGCAATATTTTAGGATCCGCATCAATAGTTGAGGTCTACTCCAGGGTACCATAAGTCTTGAACTATATATGGCCTGATTCTCGTGAAACCCGAGATATGTAGGCAACTCGAAACCACAGTTCGGCCGCAATCATTTTTTTTACGTCCCCTTTGTCCCATTTCAATCTTGATGGTCGGGACAAAATTGGCTACTAGGTCAATATTCTTTGCCTGAAAACTCTTTCATCGTTTCCGGTCAAAGAGGGGCAGTTGTTGACATCCAATTTTGTCCCTCCTTTCTTCCAAACTATTTCTTTAAGCTTCTAATATTACTAATAATTTAAAAATAATTATTTTACAATTGCTATCCCAAGATAGACCTAATTATTATTATTATTATTATTATTATTATTATTATTATTATTATTATTATTATTATTACTATTACTATTATTATTGTTGTTGTTGTTATTATTATTATTATTAGCATTAGATATTATATTATTTATTATTACTCTTTAATATTTATATATTTTTTAATACCCTACCAAGAAAGCTCTTTTAATTCAATCAACAATACTTTCATCACAAATGTTTCTTTTTTATATTGTATGTAATTCTACCCGTATTTGTAAAATACTTAATCGAATGATTTGCACATTAGTAGCATGCTCCTTTCTTTTTGGTCGTGATTATCATCTAATAAAACCAATTCTATATGATTAATTCATAATTAGTCTATTTTAGAAATTTATTAATAAGTGGGTATGTCAAATGATTTATTTACCTACATAATACTATTGTCTAATATGGCTATTAGAATATTTTATTCAAATTGGAAGCCCAAGGAAATTCATGGAAGAAAGAGATCAGCAATTAAGCCCAAATCTTTCCTCTACAAATAAGCCTATCAAGAACAGGCCCAATTCGGCCAAAGTTCATGCCCCAAACTTGCTTGAACCTCACCCCAATATTTCATTCCCTAATTCCTAACCCTAATCAAAAGACATCAGCGCCTCTGTCCCCTTCCTTGTCCCCTTCTCCATATTTAGAAAACCTTCAAGCTTTTGCACCTTCCAGTAAAAAGATGCCATACTATTTTTGTGTAAGTGTTGTCTCTTTCTTCCCTCTTCCATATTTGTGCTTGATGACCCGTGTTAAAATGGGTATAACAGTGGGGATTCGCACATAGTCGACCTTTCATGAGAGGTTCGGACGCAGGGCCCTTACAGGTGAGATGAGATCTCTGTCTACTGTTCTCTCTCTTTTTGCTTAGCTTCTTATGTGTCATTTGTCGTTGTCAGGGAGAGTGAGGAAAGCAAGGGCCCCTCCGTTAGCTTTTTGTCAGCCGGACGCATCTGCTCACCCTATCGCGGTACCCATTACCCGACCTTCATCGAGGGCTGTTTCAGTTGAGTCTGGGGCCTTGGTTACTCCTGTGAGGGCCGCTTCTCAGGACGAGGTTCCGACCGATGTCATTCGCCCAACAGGTGAATCACCGTCTACTAGGGAAGAGGAGGCGCCGTCGAAGAGACGGAGAGTGGAATTTGAGACGGTGCCCCCAACAGTAATTCATCTGGACGACTCTCCCCCGATAGGCTCTGGAGAGGGTGTAGTTGCGGCTCCCCCCATGGGGACGGAATAGACCGTCGGAATTGTCGGTGTCTATGACTATCAATCAAATATTCATGTCGTTGCCTTGGCTCAATCAGAAATCCCTACTATTGTCGGTGACCAACAAACTGTCGTGGTGGAGAATCAAACTTCTGGGGCCGCCGTCATGATTTAGGACGTACCCTCATCTTCTGCAGAGGGGCGTGTTTCCTCTTCAGCAGCAGAACGGGGAAAAGGCGTGGTGGTCAATGACTATGAATCTGAGTCGGACCTGGACCCCGATGATGTCAGGATGTTTGAGGAGGGCCTTACTCATTCGGTGGTTCATGCGAGGGGCTCGGCCCGTATTCTTCAGATCCCTTCCGACGTCAATCCCTTGGGAGAAGGTGAGGATCTGGTGCCGCAATTTAGCCTGCTATGCTCCGAAGCCGAAAATGAGGCCCTTCAGTCTGTTCCTAATGCTGATTTGATGGACGAGGTGGCCGCTATGGGCTTAAGGGTACGTTGCATTTTACTTTCGCTTTCTTCCTTCGCCATTCTCGAAAGTACTAGTCTAACCCCGTCTTTGCGTTTTTCAAATGCATATGGTAGAAGTGGAAAGCATTTGTAGGGCCAACATCCGGGCCAAAATTTTCTTGAAGATGCTGGAGAAGTATCGTCGATACCGCGACAGGTGTCGCGAGATGCATGAGCGGCTGAGGACAAACCCCAGTAATCGGGCAATTGGTGAGGAGTTGGAGAAAAGGGACCAGAAATTGATGCAGACTATCCGCAGCAAGAGTGCGTTCGAGGAGAAACTTCGAATTAAAGACGAGGAGCTGGAGTTGGGTAAGGGGGTCACTGCAGAATGTGAGCATTTGTAGGGTACGTTGAGGTCGATGCAGTCGGGGATGGATCAGAACTTGGTCTATGTCGAGGCGATGAGCGTGGAGTGGATGAGAAAATTGACTGCGCTGGAGAGCAAAGTCGCTGAGTTGGAGAGCATTAAAAGTTCCTGGTTTGAGGCTTCGGCGAGGGCGGCGACCTTAGAGAACACCATCCGCATCTTCCAATCTGAACAGGAGTCGGAGAGAGCGACAACTACCTTCATAGAGGCAAGGCTCGAGGAGCGCATGGCGTGATCGATCAAGAGGCATCGGTTCAGGGAGATCGGTCGTGGCTCTGGAGGCAAAGAATGAGCGATTATTAGCTCAGGTTGAGTCTTCCTCCACTGCTGTCCGCCGCCATATGCCCGAGCTCTAGGTTTATGCCAAAGCCCAGCGGGATATATATAAGAGTTTGTGGGAGGCGGGTACCGTGACTGAGGCTACTTATGAAGAAGCGCGAGCGAAAGCGCGGGAGGCTCGCATCAATTATGGGTATAATGCGACGACGCCTGAAGCTAATGGGGGTGCAGATAATGGTAATAGAAAGCTTCTTGGAGACGGTGATGGTGATGGTGCTGGCGATGGCGGTGATGTCGCCGAATGAAGAATGTTGTCCTTGTCTGTTTTTATTTTCAGTTGTTTGTCGATTGTCGTTCATTTTTTTTATAGTTTGCTTGGGCCATATGTAAGCGGCGATAGCCCGCACAATGACTTTCTATAAAAGAGAGTCTTTTCTTTGTTATTTTCCTTCACCTTGATTCCATCTATTTATGGTTTTTAGGTGCGAGATAGACGCCTGTATAACGAGTCCCGGTTTTTCTTTCCTTCTGATGGTTTTCTTCCTTAGGAGTATTTCGATCGAGGTCGAAATCTTCTCCTTTTGGTGGAGGGCCCTTCGCCTTAAAGGGTGTTATTTCGAATTTATCGAAATAGCATCTCGTCGTCGTTCCATCGAGGTCAAACTCTTCTCTTTTTTGGCGAAGGCCCTTGGACTTAAAGGGTGTTATTTCGAACTTATCGAAATACCAACCCGTCATCGTTCGATCGAGGTCGAACTCTTCTCTTTTTTAGCGAAGGCTCTCGGCCTTAAAAAGGCATTATTTCGAACTTATCGAAATAGCAGCCTGTCGTCGTTCGATCAAGGTCGAACTCTTTTTTTTTTCTTTTTTTTTTGGTGAAGGCCCTTGGCCTTAAAGGGTGTTACTTCGAACTTATCGAAATAGCAGTCTGTCGTCGTTCGATCGAGGTCGAACTCTTCTCTTTTTTGGCGAAGGCCCTTGGCCTTAAAGGGTGTTACTTCGAACTTATCGAAATAGCAGTCTGTCGTCGTTCGATCGAGGTCGAACTCTTCTCTTTTTTGGCGAAGGCCCTTGGCCTTAAAGGGTGTTATTTCGAACTTATCGAAATAGCAGCCCGTCGTTAGTCCCAGTTTTTAGAGAATCGGATTTCCGTGGGAGTCCTAGTTTGTTTGATATTGCTTGCATTAGAAGGTGCAGCGCCGGTGAATATGAAACGTTGATGTTTCGCTTAGGTTCGTGATGTGTATGCATTATAGTTTTTTTGTCTGACTCCTACCGTCCGGCTCGGAGACGTCGCCAACATGCGGTATTTCGGCTATGCTGGAGTAATATTTGTTCTTCAATCATGATGTTTCTTTATGTGCTCGCCCGCGCGGATTTTATGTACTTTCTTGGACAAAATGTAGGAGGTGAGAATGATTTTTTCCTTGTTCTTGTCTGGTGGTACAGTGGAGGAGAACAGGTTGGTAACACTGTTTGCCTTGTTTGGCATATCGATGGTTGATGAGGCGAGGATTTCTAAGCTCGGTAATTCTACTTGGCTCTCCTTCCACTACTGCGTTGCTCCTATGTCTCGCGTGGGTTGGATTTTCTCTTCGCGCTTCTTTTGGTGGGTGATTGTGTTTCTTGGCTTTGATCTAGGAGAGACTAGGAAATTTTACTAAGAAATACCCACAGACGGCGTCAAATTATTTGACTCAAAAGATATTGAAACCTTTTTGAACAAATCAATCAAAGATGAATGGGTAAATCTTAGTCAGACATAATTAATTCCAGATCAAAGAGCTAGCAGCACGGGTCATATGTAGGGTGAAGGGGATGTAAATGATCTTATTGAAATTCAAAGTTGTATCTCCCATCAATCGATGAGGAGATTGCTTTACATATTTTTTCTAGAACTTCGTTCTTTCTCCCAGAAATAATAGAAGAGAGCTATTTTGGTTTTTCTAGAGAGATAGCAGGAGCAGCCCCCTGGTTGAAAGCTTTCCCTGGCTATATATAGTCATGACACCCTTGCCCTTTGCTTGGATCGACGTCCTCTTGCCGCCAATGTGTCTTAGTCGTGCTTTTCGACGCCGCTCTCACCGACTCGTCGGGTGTCAGGGAGGAGAAATGAAGTGGGCTATATTAACTTTCACTGCCCAGTTACTTAGGCGGGACGTCGGTCAACTTGATCGTGATGGTCACATTTTGACCAATACACCATTATAATTTTTTTAAAAGGAAAATACAACTAAAAATATTAAAATAGGTCCAACGGGTGAAGTAGGGGATTTTTTCCCTCAAATATTTTTGATAGATAGTTTCAGGTGACATGATAATGATGTTATATATTTCGAATATTCTTTGATTAATGTGTTAAGAGGGTTTCCACTGATTTAGGGTTGTGTCTTCAACAATGACATTAGACCAGCAGACCAATTGATGTCATTAAATTCTGCCAATTTCCCAATTTGTCTTCTCACTTCCATGCAATTTTGCAGGCATATTCGCATTAGTCCCAATTTCTTTTTCATAATCAACTGGTACTAGTCTACTAGTAGAGTGAAGTGATTTGATCTTAGTACTTATCTTGTACTCATCAAGCGAAAATTGAAGAACACGACAAAGATACATTTATGAAATTATTTCATAAAAGTATAATATATTTTTCTGCTTTTGTCCTACATCTTTTGTTGGTATGTTAGAAACAAACTCTCTACCTCTCCGGGCAGAGGTAGAGAGGTAAGGTCTGCATATACACTATCTTTCCAGACCCCACATGTGAAGGTAAGATCTCCGTATATACTATCCTCTCAGACCATACATGTGAGGGCAAGGTCTGCATATACTACCCTCTCAGACCCCACATGTGAGATTATACCGAATATTTTTTTGTTGTTGTTGTTGTCCTACATCCTTTTTTGTTGGGTATAGTATAGGTAAGACAACTTTTCGTTTCAATTTTTATTGGCAAAGAATTTAGCTATCAATAGAACTCTTCACATGATCTGTATGTTTTTTGCTTCTTATTCATTGTACCAGCAATTTTCTGGGATCTGCAAAATTATTGTGCCAAATTAGAGATTACTTATAGTATGATAATTACTTGATTTTCTAATAGTATATATGGTCGAATTCTTGTGCTTGAGAATATAGTACGTTCCTGGTGGTCTAAATTTAATGGCAGATTGTGCGTCACTGTCTTCCTCTTGAACTATATATTTATTGTTTAAAAAAGGACACATAATAATAATAATAATAATAATAATAATAATAATAATAATAATAATAATAATAATAATAATAATAATAATAACAACTATAATTATGTATGTACACACAGACTAAGTTTATATTTACTATCATAAACAATAATGATTTCAGTAGTACTCCATTTTCATAATTTCACTGTCATAAACTATTGAATTTGCGTCTGTCGAAATTTCATTTGTAAAAGAGGAGGTCAATTAAGCAAGAAAAAAATAATAAATTAAAAATAAAAATAACAGAGAGGAAATCAGTTGCAAGCTCGGCCGTAAAAATTGCACGGGGCGCCCTATTTGGTCGCCCCCATTTAACCTGTACTCATTTTTTTTTTAAAACTTTTAACTTGCACCAACTTTTTAAATAATTTCAGCCCCTTTCTCCTCCTTCGTTTTCTTCTTCAAGTTACAAAACAAACTGGTATTTATCTCCAGAAGCAACGCTGCTTTAGTTATAAGGTCATTTTTTTTAATCGGAAAAGGGTCATATATGCCAGTGAACTATGCGAATTAGGACAGATATGCCCGTCGTTAATAGTTTGGCACATATATGCCCAATCCGTCCAATACTTGCTCATTCATGCCCTTACTTTAACGGAATCACTATTTTGCCTTTCTTAATTAATGAATAATCAAACCCAACCAAATCTGCTGACCCGATCCATTAGGACCCGATCCACCCTTATTTCAAACATATTTTTTGATATATTATTTTTGTTTGATTGAGAAATTGTGTGATAATTATTTTTATTTATTTGAGTAATTTGATAATCAATTTTTTTTTGTTATACATCATTTCGGGAAGTAATCTTAATAAAAGTAGTAATTGATATTTATTTATTATTTAAATAATATAATATTCGAACTAGTTTGTGCTTTATTCGATCATTTTACCATCTATTTTTATTTTTCTCACAATATATTTGTATTTTTCACCAATACAAATATAAATAACTCCATGTTTACTATAACTTAACCTGATGGATCTGTTTTTTTTGTTTTGTTTAGATAAGTGATCATATATGACTGATTATTAGTTTATTGGATTATTTTTTGCATTACAAATTTATTATGAAATAAGTAATAAATTGTTAAAACAGTGGTGCTTCTTTTCCATTTTTATTAATTAATTATTTCATAACAAGCACCACTGTTAATTCAAATATTATATTATTAAAATAATAAATAAATATCAATTACTACTTTTAGTATGATTACTTCCCGAAATGATGTATAGCAAAAAAATCGATTATCAAATTACTCGAATAAATAAATATGATTATCACACAATTTCTCAATCAAACAAAAATAATATATCAAAAAATATCTTTGAAATAATGGTGGGTCGGGTCCTAACGGATCGGGTCAGTATATTTGGGTTGGGTCCGATTGTTCATTAATTAAGAAAGATAAAATAGTGGTTCTGTTAAAGTAAGGGCATAAATAAGCAAGTATTGGACGGATTGGGCATATATGTGCCAAACTATTAACGACGGGCATATCTGTCCTAATTCGCATAGTTCACTGGCATATATGACCCTTTTTCGTTTTTTAATTGAACAGTTTGATAGTTGTACTTCTGCTCCAAATTTATAGCAAATTAATCTTAGAAAAACGTTTAAGTTACCAGTAGGATGAGTTGTAAAATTTTGGAGTTTTTGTATGTTTATTCGTGTTTGACTTGAGAAAATGTACACTATTTTTCTTAAAAAATCACTGCTAATTGTGGTGCTTCAGCTCTAGAGCTGAAGTTCAGCAGTTACAAAACAAAAACTTCAGCTCTAGAGCTGAAGTTCGCCCGTTACAAACAAAAACTTCAGCTCTAGAGCTGAAGTTCGCCGGTTACAAAACAAGAACTTCAGCTCTAGAGCTGAAGTTCGCCAGTTATAAAAACAAAAACTTCAGCTCTAGAGCTGAACTTCGCCAGTTACAAAACAAAAACTTCAGCTCTAGAGCTGAACTTCAGGCCCGGCTACTAGAATGCTGAAGTATTGTGTGATTGTCTTTGCTACTTCAGCTCCATATGCTGAAGTTATGCGAAAAAGCGGGTACGCTTGTAATTTTTTTTATAAAGCGGACACAAATTAAAACGTGACACAAAAAGCAAGTATAAATGCAAATGCCCCAGCTCGGCCTGCTCTATACAGAGTTTATGGGCCGAAAGTTCTGAATAATTTTGAGAAATTAACTTAAAT